TTCCGTCCCAAGCTGATGTGGGCTTAATACGCGGCTGGGTTTATTAGCCGTGAGCTTAATAGCCGGCGACTACTGTATAAGAGCTTTGCATTGGACCAGGGGAGCCGAAACCAACTGACAAGAACAGTTGGCTTCTGAGGAGTTTGCCAAGACAGACCTGAGCTTAAGTGAGAACACCCACGACATGAACGTTGAGCAACCTCAGACTAGAGCAGTCAAGAAAGAAGGTGACCGCATAAAGACATAGCGTACTCAACAGGGCAGACCTGGACCAGTCAAGTCCAAGCATTCAACCTATTCATGTGAGAACATGTGTCTGGAGCATTGGCTACATGATCACACGTAACTGGCCTATTCCCCACCTAGTTCTCACTTGAGGCTAAGGACACGGAGCACACCAAGCCGTCGTGTGATAATGCATGTAACTGCGGCTAAAAGGTGCAATAGAGCCAAATAAAATTTGAGAACAGAGTTTAAACTAGGGAGAATTAAATGAATTACTCTCTCGAGAAAGTGATAAAGTGAAGAATTCGCGTGATAACTCTTTCTTTCCAGTGTGTTTGGGGGGGAAGTAATAGTTAAGCTTCCAATAAATACACTGGGATCGGGCGGCAATTCTTCGGTTCACCTTCATAGAAGTAACCTACTAGCCAGTGTAGTTGAGAGCACGTCACGTGTTCAGTCCGTGATTATTTGAAATAAACAAAAAGGTACTCACTTTGTCAACGTGGACGTAGTAGTAGTTGGAGGAGTGATAAAGAAGCCGGAAACTGCGCTGAATATGACGCCAACTGCGACCTGTGAAGACAAGCACATAGACTATGCTGACGTCATTCGTTTCATCCAGTTGCCACGCATCAACATGCGAAGAGGCTGAAAAGAGACAGAGAGCGTGTGAAAAAGCATTTTATGATAAGCAAATGGGGGGATAGTCAGCGTATGCCAAAAAAGTATTTGTATGGGCAGATACAGTGGACAAAAGCGTAGCTAGAAGGACACCTCAAACGTCCGTAAATCAAATGTTATACGCCAGAGGACCGCACTTACGATCGGCAGACGTAACACACTGCCAAAAGGAGACGGGAGTAAACATCTTCGAAACCAATCGAATAGTAGTTGTCAAAGCACGAAAGGAAGCTCGCAAGGCTTAGGAGCTACTAACCAAAAACTCGAGGAACCAAACCCAGTCATTGTTTCCACGCTGCTAACGGACATTATGGGAGCGGATCGGCTTTACTAGATATCTCCGGACATATTTAATTTGTCAACTAGATCAGCCTGTCTATCAGTTCCCAAACCACCACCACCAACACCATTAACGTGGCCAGCGATGACACTCCTATTACTCTGCCAGCAACCCCTCTCATCGCTTCATTCCAGCAGTAATTTCGATGACGAGCAGGCCTGGGTGCTTACCTGCGAACTAATCATGCCAAGAACGACCAAATAGTGTTAGGGGTTTCGAAATACACCCAGTACTCTGGCCTGACTTGCTCACACTGTCTCGGGGCGCTCCGTCATTGCACAGGCGTGTTTGGCCATATACGCTCCCATAAAAGTCTTTAGCAAAACCACTTGGTTCAAACTCCCACAACAGCAACGTGATCTATCGGTTACATACGAAACTGCTCCAAAAAACGCACATACACAGCACCTTCCCCTAAAACGCAATGCTTCACTTCTGCAACGGGCGTGCGATCTAATTCGTAATCGCCGGTGTAGGAGGCAAACGTCGCATATCAGAACGTGCCATCTTAACGGAAGGAATGCCGTTCGATGTAGGTCGGTGCGTGAATTAAGGACCAAGCAGTGTTTGACAAGCGTAGGCGGGTATTTTGGTTTTGTCAGCCACTACGCCCTCGCCTACTTCTGACCGTGGAGCACGGGGTAGACACTACCGCTTGCGCTAATTGAACTGTCGAATGTTCGGGCAAGAAGGTTCCAGCTAGGAAAAAGTATTAAAGAAAGGAGTCACCTCAGGGTCATGATCGCAGCGCAGAAAGCCAAGTAACTTTTTGGTTGGTGCTTCAACTAGCAGGC